TTAGTATTAGTATTAGTATTAGTATTAGTATTAGTATTAGTATTAGTATTAGTATTAGTATTAGTATTAGTATTAGTATTAGTATTAGTATTAGTATTAGTATTAGTATTAGTATTAGTATTAGTATTAGTATTAGTATTAGTATTAGTATTAGTATTAGTATTAGTATTAGTATTAGTATTAGTATTAGTATTAGTATTAGTATTAGTATTAGTATTAGTATTAGTATTAGTATTAGTATTAGTATTAGTATTAGTATTAGTATTAGTATTAGTATTAGTATTAGTATTAGTATTAGTATTAGTATTAGTATTAGTATTAGTATTAGTATTAGTATTAGTATTAGTATTAGTATTAGTATTAGTATTAGTATTAGTATTAGTATTAGTATTAGTATCAATATTAGTATTAGTATTAGTATTAGTATTGGTATTAGTATTAGTATTAGTATTAGTATTAGTATTAGTATTAGTATTAATATTAGTATTAGTATTAGTATTAATATTAGTATTAGTATTAGTATTAGTATTAGTATTAGTATTAGTATTAGTATTAGTATTAGTATTAGTATTACTATTATCATTACTATTATTATTTTTACGATCATTACTATTGCCGATACTGCCACCTCAATCAACCTAAGAATAACGCAAGATAATAATAATAATAATAAATATAATAATAAAACCAAAAGTAAAACAATTAAACAAATATAAAGTAATAGTTGTCGTATATATGGTATCAGAAGGCGACCTGGTCACTGACCTCCGTAGAAACAGAGAAAGTTTACTGAACACACTCTAGTTCATCTTTTCGTGTTGTGACGAATTTCACGCACTATTCGTATTACAGAGGCAAGCAGGCACTCACAAAACACGGATGTAATACGGTTATATACATGTGTCTGTCATATCTATTTATCTCTTTATTTATATATCTATTTATCTATGTATTTATAAATGCTATGTCAATTTTTCTAGCTAAAAAACACGTTATAAACATCCAACTGTCTATCTACATATATATATTGCATCCATCAATCTATCTGTCTCTCCGCATCCATTTCACATCCAGTTATCCATCAGACCCGTGCCTATCCATATAAACAAAAAACGGATATGCAAGCAACAATATCTACGGGAGTGAAAGTACCTCCCAGAACGGGGAATTCCCTCAGAGTAGGAAAAGAATCATGGCCCGAAACCCGCAGAAGGGATGGATGGCACTGTGCTTCGTCCCTTTTTTTATGTATGGGTTTCAGACTTTCTCTTTTACCTCGGTTTCACTTCTATTGCTTGTTTGCGTATGGTTAGTTTTACGTTAGCGTTTTGTTTCAAATTATTAATTTTCGTCTTCTTCTTCGTTTTCTTCTTTCTTTTCTTTTTTTGGGGGGGATGGTGGATAGGTTGGTTTGATATGGATAGAAGTTGGGGTTTAACTATAAAAAAGTGATGGAAATTGGAAGGTATTTAGAGAATAGGTTACCTTTCCTCGATAGGTTGTTGGGCCTGGGATGTTCAGTGCAACATTTTCTCTCAATCTGGTTCAACGCGGGTGAGAAGTGTGTGCTAAGAGTGCCTTCGAAATTTTTTATAAGAATAGGGGTAATTTTGTTGAATAAATTTGGCTCGCTTCAGTCAGGTTTTAGTGAAATTTAGGTGAAAAAGTTTATATAGATTTGATATCATGGTGTTCATTTGTTGCTTAATTAAAGTATGTTATTTTTTTTCTGGTCAAAGTGTCAAAAGCACAAAGTGATTCGAATGACGCTAATGCGGAAACACACTCACATTTTCAATCACACTCACTCACTCTCTACTTCTCACACTCTCACACATTCACTCACTCACACTCACATTCTCATACACAATCACTCACACTCTCACATTCTCACTCACACTCGCATTCTCACTCATACTCACGCACACTCACTCACACTCACACCCTCACACGCTTACTCGCATTCTCACTCACACACACACACTCACACTCACACACTCACACTCACACACTCACTCACACTCGCATTCCCACACACACACACTCACACTCACACACTCACACTCACACACTCACACTCACACTCACACACTCACTCACACTCGCATTCCCACACACTCACACACACACACACACACACACACACACACACACACACACACTCACACTCACACACTCACTCACACTCGCATTCCCACACACACACAACACACACACACACACACACACACACACACACACTCACACTCACACACTCACACTCACACTCACACACTCACTCACACTCGCATTCCCACACTCACTCACACTCGCATTCCCACACACACACTAAATGACAGTCCTAAATGACAGCCTGTCAATGTTGCAGCGCAGAGTGGCCATTCTTTGATCATTTGCTTTGGTTCCGAGTCTTATTGAAGACAACATGAATATTGACAAGAAAATGTTACCGATGAAGATGCATTATATTGCAGCCTTTGCAGGTAAGTGTGTTTGTTTT